CATGATAATTTTAATTGATTTTAATTGTATGACGTATGATAAAAATTAATTGAAATTGATTTTTCGGTAGGCCTGGTAACATTTATCAAGCAATAGAGGACTTGGATTACGACAAATTAATTCAAGAACTTGAAAGATTTTTTTGAGTTGTTAGTTTCGCATAACTTAATCATTAATTTTCTATGTAACCTATATAATCTTGTGCTATTAATGTAACCAAAATATATCAAAGCTTCGTGAAAATAATGAATAAAATTTTCGACTCTAAATTTACTGTGCCACATTAATGCGTCCGGACACATGTATCTAGAATTTTTAAATAAAAAAGTATGTTTGTTCGGATAGATTAGTGGAGCAACCAAAATTCAGCAGATCGACCAAAATTTAGGGTATTTCCTAGCTTGTGTATCTACTCTTGGTTAAGTACCCATGGGTATATTGCTATGCATAATACCCTTTTTTTGATAAGACCCGGGTATTAAAGGCAGTGCGATACGGTAAATTTTGTATAATAATATATAGTATAATAGTTTTAATAAAAAATTACTACAGTAGCAAGATTACCAAATAATAAACACTACTAAAAAAATAAAATTACCAAAATATTTATTTTAAAAAGCAATCAAGTTTAATATTTGGCTATATACACCTGTTTTTAAAGCATTAATATTTAAAAATTTTAAATTATTTTCTAAGAATACAATTAGAACTATAGATCTAAAAATTAATTATATCTTTTGTAAAGAAATTTTGTAACACATTTACTATATATGTATAGTTATAGTAAAGAAAATCGCAAATCGAGTCATATGATCTGTATAACGGTAGTAATAGGATGTTACAACGTCTGTGTACCATGCATAAAAGGCATAAGTGCACATGCAAGCACTGCATTCAAACTTAAACGTTCTTATTTTATCCGATTAAATATAATTTTTGCGTATTCGACGTGACGATTCAACTTTTGATATCAATAACCTTAAAAAAAGGTAATTAATAAGTTAAGAAATGTTATAAAGTTAAAATTATAAATTAATAGTAACAACCTTTGTAAAAATTAATGAATAGAAGAATGGATAAACAAAAAATATCTATAGATTCGAATTTATTGTTGAATGATGTCCAAAGATTAGCTTTGAATGAGCTTTTAACGAATGATAAGATTACTATTATATCATGGACACCAGAACAACAAGAGGAGGCAAACGAATTTCTACGGTCTCATATGCTTTTGGATTTAATAGTTTCTAACGCGAATTTAACGAATTCAACGAATTCGAAATGGGTCATAAGTTATAAATATAACGATGATACTAATATACGGAAAATTTTATGTCAATGTAGTTGTGGTATTTTTACCCAAAATTCTAATGTTAAAAATACAGGCATAAGCGAACATAATTTTGAATTTTTTGGGTGTTTGGCCTTTGCGGAAATTACAATTAATGAATCAACGAACCATTACGGAAAAATTATGGGATATTTTGAACATGTGAATGAGTGCGTTCAATCAGATAAAACTATTCCACAAGTAGCCGAGCCTTTAGAAATTATAGATACACCAAAGAATCCGTCGTTACCGGTTATGTCACAAGATGAGTCGCACGTTTCTGATTCATCTATTTTACAACTTCATCCTATGGTTAAAGAGATTACGTCAGATTTATTAAAATCATATGTGCCTACAAAATGGGTGATGAAGGACAATCAAAAATTTGTTCAAAATAACTGTAATGGATTAGTTATTTTGGATGATTATAGGTTGTTGATTAGTCCATCAGATATATTGAGTATCATGGGTGAGATACCAAAAATAAAGTTAAACATTAATATGCGACAACCAGTAGATTCTAGTTTATTAGACATATTTTTTTTAAAAGGGGATAGTGATTCATTGATACGAAACTCATGTTTTCATTATCAACCCAGAACTCAAGAACATGATAGACTTGAAATTGGACTTTCAACACTAGAGCAAAGAGAATTTGCGTGGACTTATGGTCATCAAAATCTTTTGATATTTGATGGAACGTTCACTATTTGTGATAATAGAATACTTTTATTCGCATTATTGGTACTTGATGAGGATCATCATAGTATTCCTGTGGCATATTTCTTATTTTCTTTACCCAATTCAACAAAATCATCCTCCGATGGTGGTTATGATTATCGAATATTGAGCACATTATTACAGAAGTTTGTTGATGTATTGGGTGAAAAAAATTCAGCGAAATTTTTCCCAAAGGTATTTAAGTTATTATTATTATATAAATGCGTTAAAGAGAAATTAAATTCTTACTTAAAAAAAATTTCCTGATATTTTAGATAGTTATGACGGACACAAATTATCGAGAACAGCAAGCAGTGCATCAAGTTTGGTCAGGTGCTGCAGTGATTTATAATTTCTTTCATGTAAATAAAGAGTGGAATAAGATATTAAAGCAATCTCTCGGTGCCAATGGTCCTCAGCAAATCGTTACTTATAGAAAAGAAATGAAATCTTATATGAGAAGCGTGATTCATCAAATAAACACTATGAATGATACTAATCATATTAAAGTAACTGTTCTAAATGCACAAAAAGGTTTGAAGGTAATTTTGTTTTTTTTCTT